CCCCAAAACCCCAAAACCCCAAAACCCCAAAACCCCTTTTCAGCAGCTGAAATTGGGCCAATAGATGATCTTATTTGTTAATAAAGACACCATTGTTGTTAGCGGCACTCTGCCATTCTGACTGGAAAGTCCTCTTTTTGTTGAAATTCTGGTTGTGTTTCCTGTGCAGAACATTCCCTCCCCAGACGAACACGTCTTTTCCTGTAATTCCAGCTTCATAGTTTGAGAAAGCTCCCCCAAGAGTTGAGAGTCCTTGGCCTAGAAATATTTGTGATTTGTTTGACTTACTCTGGTTAGAAACTTCACTGTAGAAAGTTCTATTACCGTCAAGCTGTTTCTTAGGCAACATCTGAAAGCCGAATGAGGTGGCGGTCTGATTGAGCTTGGAAGTGTTGATTTTTCCTTGTTCCTAGAATGCTCATAACAGAGTTCCTACCTTCTTATGAGGATTCTTCTTTATTCCATGAAGCGTCTTCTTCAATTTTTCTTTTTCAACTCTCAACAACTTTAGGACTTCAGAAGGATTTGAACTGAGGCTGTCTGCTAAGTTTATATTCCTTTCTCTCAAGAACTTATGAGTATCTCTTGCTAAGCTGTGGACTTGGTCTAGAGATTAATGAAGAGAAGTACCTTTGCTACGGCCTCTTCTGTGCATGACCTTCTTAGCATTCCTTGCTTTCTTGATGAGCTGATTGTCATAAGGACTATCTTTAGAGTTGTATCTTTGCTTATTCCATTTCTTATCTCCTTGCTCATGTCCTCTCTCCCTCAAAGTTAGAGACTGATTCTTCTGATGGTGGGAGTCATGAGCACCTCTTTGATAATTCTTAGCAGCTTGTTTTCCACCAGATATAACTGGATAGCATTCTGATAAGTAATTAGCCTGGTTTGGAATACCTTTTTTTACTAGAGAGTTATGTAATATTTACCATTATGGCTATTATTTCTCTTACTTTTGGCAAAACTCTTCATATATTGAGTCTTGAAATAACTCTGTTTCTTCCTAGTATCATTTAACGAATTTTGGGAAACGCCGATATTGTTTTGAGTTTTATTTAAATGATTGAAATATTGTGGGTCCCTGACTGCATATTTCCATCCAGTATGGTTCCATCTACAAGGAGTAAGCTCGAGGAACCGATCGGGCTCAATTTCATCCTCCCTTGCATAGTTATCAGCATGCCTCCTTTCTATGGAGATTTTCTTTGTAGGAGAAGGTGCTGTGTCAGCCTCACTGTGTCCATTTCCAGAGCTCATAGCAGTAAAGGGATTGATCACTGCAGGTTTGGGTTCAAACTCTTGGGCCTTTCTCTTCTTCTGTTGCAAATATTCACTAATCCCTGTCCTCATTGCATCACCAAATTGGTCAATCTGGTTTCCTGATGCCTTTAGTCTCCTGCTTCCTTTATAAGCTTGAGGATTAGAAGCATACATTGCTTGTGTATCCATTTTATTCTTAAAATAAAATACCCGAATTTTTCTTTGCACAATTTTTGTGAATAAATATGGGGTTTTGGGGTTTTGGGGTTTTGGGGTTTTGGGGTTTTGGGGTTTTGGGG